TGTAAACTATATAGATATATACACACTAGTTAGCATACTAGAGAAACATAGTTCTGGGATGATGCATCTTTGGAACATTTGGGAAATAAAGATATAGACATAAAATAGGCTCACAAAGTTTGTTTCCCAACACTAGCTTTGCTTTTGCTGGCAAAGCAAATTGCAGCTCTTTGATTGTTTGGACAATTTAATGCTTGTCCTCTTCGAGCAAACAGACTTCTTCCAGACTGCATCCACTATGTGCTGCTGGACATTGGGATATGTGAGATTCTGTTCTGCAGATTTTGGAGAATGATAGCGGTAGAAATGAAAGCAACATTGGGGCCATCTAAGCTGTCTTGGACTACCAGTAAAGGAGTCCTTCACCGGCACTTGATGCGATTCGAATGTTAACATTCAGTTGACAGTGTTGGCAGGGAATGTGAATGTGAAATCCATCTTCAGCACCATAATGCAAAGACAGATGTGTGCATCTGGGAAGAGGTGTGTGTGTGAAAGATTAATTTTCTAAATCTGTCCCTGTCCTCTTAATTCCAGAGGCAGAAGATGCTTTCATCAACAAGCAGAAGGTGCAGAAAGAGGTGAAAGCTGCACTCTCAGAAAACGCCACGCTGAGCTGCGAGGTGGCCCAGGAGAAGACCGATGTGAAATGGTACAAGGAGGGGAAAGTGATCACCTCGAGCAAGAAGTTCAAGGTGGAGTCGGAGGGCAAATCGCGTCGTCTGGTGGTGGGTCAGGTGGAGAAGAGAGATGCTGGGGAGTACACCTGCGAGGCTGCTGGCCAGAAACTGACCTTCAAGCTTGTCGTCACAGGTGGGAGATGTGTTGGTTCTCACCACAGGGTGGTCCGTGACTTCCCTTTACTACAGAGCAAAATCAATCACTCTCTGGGCTCCAGGGTCTGTTTGGCCTAGATGTGCATTGAGTAGTGAGGTTGATCAGGCAACCAGCTTGCATTTATCCACTGTCACAGAGATGCCTATAGCTAGATGTCTTCATCTGTGAGATGAATCCCACTCAGCAGTCCTTGTTGTTTTCTAATTTTAGAGTAGAGAAAAATTAGACGAGTTTACATATGCTGTTGTGATTTATAGG